TTAACCCTTTAGGGACCAGACCATTTTTTAATTTTCTTACGATTAACGACCAGCGCTGTTTTTACATTTCTGTGGCGTTTGTGTTTAGCTCTGACTCATTTACTTTACCCACACATATTATATACCATTTTTCTTGCCATTAAATGGTCTTTCTAAAGATACCATTATTTTCATTATAACCTTTCATATGTATTTATTTTTTAAAAGAAGACAACCTAAGGTATTAAACTTGGTGTATTTTGACTCTTTTCATGCAACCTTTTCATGCAACCATTTTATCTATGCCAAATTAAAAATAAATAATAATAATTGGTGATTTTTGACACACATAGCAATTTAAGAATACATGTAATGAGAACTTCAAAGGTTACTGCCAAAGAACTCTCCCATATGTGTTCAGCATCCTCTCCCGAGTATAGTGATATCACCCATGTTTAGGTGTGTCGGGTTCTCTAGGGACTAAAGGACATTATTTGGAGGGTGCGCATTCCAGTTTTCAAATTTGGAATTTTCACAGCTGGTCATCATGTCCTATCTGGGACATTTTTGAAGCCGGCAAATGTAATTTACCCCCATCAAGCCATATATTTTTGAAAAAGTAGACACCCTATGGTATTTCAAATAATGGTTCTTTAACACTTTCCATGCACTAATTCTACAACCAGTCTTTGTCAAACTTTTGGGAAGTCATTTTTTTTGTGTTATTTTTATCTCACATCGAATTTTAGGCATGAATTCTCAGTTCCTGTTATGTGTTACTGTTATGTGTTACTGACAAAGAACACCCCAATATGTGTTCAGAAACATCTCCTGAGAACAACAGTGCCCACAATGTACATGTTTTATGGGTTTTTGCAAACTTACAGGGCTCAAATGTAGGGTTTTCCCCTTTTCCATGGAATTCAAAATGGAGTATGTTCAGTCTTTTTAGTAGCCACTTAGTCACAAATCCTGGCCAAAATTAGCGTCTATTTTTTTTTTTGCATTTTTCACACATAAACTGCCATTTCACTGATGATATTATCAGTGTAATCCATTTTACTGCTCTAAAAC